GCATCTCATTCCTTTTACTTATGTTGCCCATCCTTTGGCATTTATCGCATCGCGATATATAAGCTTGAGTGTCTTTGAACAAAATAGGCCACCAAAAACCTGCTTGCAAGATTTTTGAAGCAGTTTTGAAGGTTGCGAAATGTCCTGCGTAAGACGAGCTATGGCATCCGAATAAAATTCCTTCCATCTCTTCTTCAGCCACGCATCTTCGGAATAACCCATCAGCACATCTCTTATAGAGATAGGGTTCATCCCAAAAATAATGTCTTACGTCTTTTAGAAACTTTTTCTTCCTATACCTGAAAAATTGCGAAGCTCTACATCAGCTGCTAAGTAATTTGCTATATGTCTAAACCATGGGGTATTGAAAGCATCGGATCTTCGCATGAGTGGACATGGTGGTGCGGTATTGGCATTGGTGGGGGTATTATCTATTGCATAGATTTTTTCTTCTGGCAAACTGTCATTTAAGGGCAATCTTTCTTCAACTCGAATTCGTGAAAGATGGTCTGCAACTCCATTATCTGCGCCCTTCCGATCTCGAATTTCGATATCGAATTCTTGCAGTAGGAGGATCCATCTTATCAACCGAGGTTTAGAGTCTTCCTTAGACATTAAATACTTGATTGCAGCATGATCAGTATAAACTATGACCTTAGATCCTACGAGATAAGAACGAAATTTCTCAAATGCAAATACGACAGCTAGAAGTTCTTTTTCTGTTGTAGCATAATTGCATTGAGCTTCGTCAAGAGTTCTGCTTGCGTAGTAGATTACGTGCAGTTTCTTATCTTTTCGTTGGCCAAGCACTGCTCCGACTGCATAGTCACTTGCATCGCACATGATTTCGAATGCGAGTTCCCAATCAGGTGCTTGCACGACAGGAGCGGAAACAAGGGCTTCTTTGATCTTATGAAACGCGGCTAAGCACTCATCATCGAACTCGAAGTTCGTTTCCCTGCAAAGCAAACGCGTAAGAGGTCTAGCTATTTGAGAAAAATCTTTTATGAATCGCCTATAGAATCCTGCGTGTCCTAAGAAACTATGAATTCCTTTTATGTTTGTGGGAGGTTGTAGGCTGGTCAGGACTTCGATTTAGCTTTGTCAACTTCAATTCCTTTTCCCAAAATTCTGTGCCCAAGCACAATTCCGTCTCGTACCATGAAGTGACATTTTTCCCAATTTAATACTAAATGCTTATCTTCACATCTTTGCAGAACTTTACCAAGTTTGCCTAGGCATTTTTCAAAAGAAGATCCATAGACAGAGAAATCGTCCATGAACACTTCCATGAAATCCTCAATAAAATCTGTGAAGATCGACATCATGCACCGCTGGAAGGTAGCAGGTGCATTACACAATCCAAAAGGCATACGTCGGTAAGCAAACGTGCCATATGGACAAGTGAATGTCGTTTTTTTCTTGATCCTTCGGGCGAATAGGAATTTGGAAAAATCTGGAGTATCCATCAAGGAAGCAATAGTAGGGGTGATTAGCTAATCTTTCTAGCATTTGATCTATGAAGGGAAGTGGAAAATGATCTTTCCTAGTTGCTGCATTCAGTTTCCGGTAATCGATGCACATACGATGTCCAGTTACTGTTCTTGTAGCGATCATTTCATCCTTATCGTTTTTAATGACAGTGACTCCCCCTTTCTTTGGGACAACATGAACTGGGCTAACCCAAGTGTTATCTGAGATAGGAAAGATTATTCCAGCTTCTAAAAGCTTCATAATCTCCTTCTTGACAACATCCATAAGATTAGGGTTCAGTCTCCTTTGACTTTCGATTGAGTTTTTAGCATTATCCTCTAGATTAATCTTGTGCATACAAAGATCTGGAGAGATTCCAGGTATGTCATCAAGTGAATATCCTAAGGCTTTTCTATGCTTTCTCAGCTCAGCCAACAGCATTGTGGTTTCTTCTTCCGTCAAACCAGAGTTTATTTTGACAGGATAAGTAGAATTTGGTCCAAGGAAAGCGTACTTAAGTCTGACGGGAAGAGGTATAAGCTCGACTTTAGGGGCTTTAAGCTCGCTCCAAGGATCATTAATTGCTGCAGCAGTGTCTTTAGGAGGTGTAGGAATGTTTGTTTGGTCCTTAAGATCTAGATAGTGTAGAGGTTTCCTATAAGTTTCGGATTTATCAAGCATACGTGCGCATTGACTTGAAATTTCTTCAAGGAAATTGCGTTCGTCTTTTGCGGGTGAAAGCGTGACACGTAAAGGGTCGTCTAGAAACATATTTTCAAAGACTTCCTCAACAATTCCGTCTAACTCATCAACCCAACAAATTTTGCCATCCAGAGTTGGTTTATCGAAACTTTTGTTCATGTCAAACTGCATAACTAGGCCAGCTAGATGAAGGTCGATTTTTCCTTCAGGAACATTGATTATGGCTCCAGCTGTAGATAGGAATGGTCTTCCAAGAATAAGGGGATCCTTAGGTTCTCTTTCTAGTTCTAGAACTACGAAATTGGTGGGGATGGAACATTTTTTTATTTCTACTGGAACATCTATTAGGATACCTACGGGTTGTCTAACAGAACGATCAGCTAGTACTAAAGAAATTTTAGTGGGCTTGAAAGTGTGATGTCCTAAACGTTTTGCTACTGAAAGAGGCATCATGTTTATACTAGATCCTAAATCACAGAGAGCACGCTCAAAAGCTACATCATTGATGGTGCATGAAAGTACAAAGCTTCCAGTATCGTTTTTCTTTTCAGGGATTCGGCTTTGCAGGATAGAACTACATTCATGGGTTATCATCATAACGCCTTCTTCAAGAGTTAAAGAATTTGTTAGAATACCCTTCATGTATTTTCTTAAAGCAGGAATCATAGCACAAGCTTCTATGAAAGGTAATCTCACATTTAATTGATCCGAGTACCCTAGAAAAATAACAAAGCCAAAAGTAATCACTGAATAATAAACAAAGAACATAAAAGAATAACTTCAAAAAAAGACACATACTTTGATATCAGACAAAACCATCTCGATAGTATTTCCAAAGAATGTTGAATGCTTCTAGAGCCTGACAACCTTGACAGATATTAACCACCCTATTTTGTAAGTATCCAAACATGCAACATCGAACATTATAGAAACTTTTTTTTCTTCTTTTTGATCGAGAACTCTGAATAAGTTTTATAAAGAGGAAAACTAAATGTGACGGAGTATGAGAAAGTGTTTTAAATATGAAAAGGACAGACTATGCAGTTGAATAGGCAGTTATTCTTTCTTATAAATTTATTTTCGATTAAATTATTTTAGAAGAAAAAAATTTGAACAGTTACCATTTAAAGCCCCTTTATTGTCAAAACCAACAACAATCCATTAATTTATGTCAAGACACTTCCATATTGACATTGACTGATTTGTTCATTTCACCTGCCAGAGAGAATATATTCCATGTTTTAAGTTTCACCAAAGATACACGCAATCTCAATAAGTAAATATACTATTTTACTAAATATAAAATTTTGCTAAATTGCAACACTTTCCATAAAATAATATGATCTCTCTCTATGGCTTATGTTATTTGGACAATTTTATGTTTCAATATTTTAGGAAATGATATATTCATACAACATCATAACAAAAATACCATTTATGTAGACTTATATGTTATAACTTTATGTATCTACTTGAGCAATTTTCCTTAAATTATATGAAACAGGAAACCTGGAAAGTCAAACGGTTAGGTGCAAACATAAAGTCGCATAATCTTCCCCATAAAAAATTGAAAAATGTGAAAATTGATTATTATTGCATACCTTATAAATACTGACTTGAGGGTTTCTTTTCAAAAAACTTTAAAATATTTTATAAGCAGCCTTATCGTTTCTGAGAGAATTCATAAGAACATGGCGAACACAAACAAAAACAAATTTGATGAAAATGGCTTGTTGATCATCAATCCCCCACCATTGGTAATGAGATTCGGTGTCGTGGAACCAAAGTCACCACCTTCACCAACAGATTCCAAGATAGAGGAAGAAGAATTATGGGAACAATTACATTTATTCACCGCATCAAATCAGAAAGCCAAACAGAACACTCCTCGGGTAATACATCCTATTCACTAAAGTTTGTTTTAATCATGTCTTACACAATGAATTGTAAAATCTGTATATTCTACTAATGGAGGATGACAAAGGCAACACATCTAATGAGACACCCCAATCAAGTTGCACAAAACGAAAACACGACTTGATTCTAGATCTGGAGATAGGGTTGAACTGCATGCGTTGCGATTTTGTGGAGACAGAAATCCGACACATGGATACCGCCGAATGGGTACGTTATCAGAAATATATTTAGATTAATAATGAAAAGTTGTCTAAAATCTATGTTATTGAGTCATTATAATTTGTTATTGATTGCCCATTGAACTTTATGTTGTAGAAACAATTCATGTTTAAATATAATATTGAGATAGTTTAAAGCTATATAATTTTACAAAAAATCTAAATTGGATTGTTTGCGTCTGTGTTTAAAGGGAGAGGAAAAAGAACGCAAAAAGAGGAGGTCTGGAGTTTGATCAAGAACCATATCAGTTTCAAATCAATTTCATGTTTTTTTTTTCTGTTTGCAATGACCACTTTAAAGACAGTATGTACTTGGTTTTATTTTCTAAAAACTATTAAGTTTATTTCGATGACATGATAATTTGGTTTTGAAGCATTCTCGATATTTACAACTACGTGACAATGTTCATCATATGAAATGTCAATAGATGCCCAATAATATGCTACAATTCAAGTTTTGTTAAATTATGTTATCGAATTGAGATTGTCATTGGAATATCCGACTACAGTTAAACGTTAGAGATCAAACCATTAATACATCAGATCCAACTTAGTGAAAAATCGAAAAACATCAAATCTATTAAAAACTATAAAACCGAACGTAATGGTCTTATATAATAAAAACAACTAACATATTTTGAGATACATAGAGACAACAAATCACAAAACAAAACACAGTAAAAAGAAATATCATATCTTGTCAAAAACCTCCTTGTAGACGACATTCAATGTTTTGTTTTGTGGTTTGTTGTCTTTATCGGTGATCAATATCTTCAAACCTTCTCTGGATGTAACCCTCGATACAGCGACATAGAGTTGCCCATGAGTAAAAACCGGTCTTGGAAGATACAAACCAACCTTTTCGAGTGTCTGTCCTTGGCTTTTGTTTATAGTCATTGCAAAAGCTAATGTGATAGGAAACTGCTTGTGTCTCATCCTGAAAGGAAGTTTCATCTCCGAAGGAGAGAGGAATATCCTAGGAATCAGTAATTTTTCACCAACCTTGCTACCTGTTATTATCTGAGCCTGGAGAACATAATTAGCCATCTTAGTAATGATGAGTCTTGTGCCATTACACAACTCATTCTTAGGGCCGATATTTCTTAGAAGCATTACAGGAGTACCCTCTCTCAACTTCAGGACATGATTAGGGAAACCAGACATCTTGATACTATTTTAAAACTCCTCGGTATAAATCATATTGTTGGAAACACCTTTTTTCTTACTGGCTACACTCTCTGAGGGTACTTCAGATGCATCATTGTAATTGACAACTTCTTCAGTCGTATCAATGCTATCACAACTAAGATAGGTCCTTTCAACATCTGTTATATACAAAACAATCGTTGTATTATATAAATATAAACAAATAAGCTAAGGGGAATTAAAACAAAATAAACATACCCGATAACTTTGAAAGCATGTAATCATTTATCGTATCTACATCATCGTTTCTTAGACTCAGTATGGCACGGTCTTGGAAAAATTTAGGATCAGTCTCTTTCGCAAACGAACTCCCATAAATTTCTTTGACGATCGTTTTTATAGGATCTTTACAGTCTTTAATCAACAGATCATCAGGAATATCAATTACGGCTTCACCACTTCCATCGTCATTTATCGTACCATCACCAATGTCTAAGATCCACTTTGTAAAGGCAGCTCGTTCAAGCATCGCACGGCTATTATCTCCAGCTATAAGTTGCATGTTCTGTGTAAGTCTCAACACTCTACATTTGTACCACAGAGGTGACGAATTCAAAGTGGCCATAAGTATCTCTGTCTTCCCGGCATTTGGAATCACTGGCAATATTTGCCTAAAATCCCCTTCTAAAACAATGACCTTGTCACCAAAGCGCTTATCAATTTCTAATATATCACGCATCGTTCTATCTAGAATCTCGAAACAGTCTTTACTCATCATCAACGCCTCGTCCCATATAATGAGTTTAGCAATCCTTATCAGGTCGGCAAGATTCGACTCCTTCTTGATTGAACAGAAGGTAAACGTATTAACCACAATAGGGATTACAAATCTTGAATGCGCAGTTCGGCCTCCTTCTAATAACAACGAAGCAATCCCGCTCGATGCAACCTTAAGAACAACATCACCTTGGGAACGTAGAGCAGATCCTAATAGACTCCACAAATAAGTTTTACCAGTACCTCCAAAACCATAAACAAAGAACATACCTCCTTTGTTCTTATTTACTGCTTCTAGTATCTCATCATAAACACTTCTCTGTTCGCTGGTTACAGTGGCTAACATCTGCTCGTTTCTTACTCTAAGAGTTTCGCGATTGTAATTCCTCTCATCCCGAATAAGAGGATTATCACGTGACTCCAGAGTAATATCTTCAGGAAATGGCATATGTGTGAATTCTTTTAAGGATCTCCCACTTACACGTAAAAGAAGTTCTATTTCGACCAGAGTAAAGTCTTTAACTTGCTCCTGAGATAGACTAACAGCTACACAATTTCAAAAAAATTACAAAAGATAAATTAACTATCAATATTTTAAAGATATATAATAACAACGATGCAAACAATAACTATACGACTTACTTTGATCCCTGGCAGCCTTTCTGTAATTATATATGATGTCATCTGATAATACCTGCCATGTAGCATCCCAAACTCTAGAAGGAATGGATATACTTTGAGTAGTGAGCAAGATCACAAAAAGACGACGGAGATAATTGGCAGAAAGCCACAATCCGCCCTCATTGATGGCCTCAATATACTCTTTGTCATCATTCAATAATCCATACGCATAGCAAACGTCTTTGAACGAAGAATGTAGAACTTTGTTAACCGTTTTTATATCGTCAAAACCACGTGGTCCTTTGACTAAATTAAGCAGAAGCCTTAAATAATACGCTTCACCTGCCCCAATGGGTACGTACGTGATTCTACCAAGAGCAACTCTCCTTGATCGTGGCGTCCATATCCTGTTTGGGTTATTCCACACAAATCTCGTAGGAAGTTGCGCATAAGTCAACGTCCTCGCCAGTTCATACTTATCGTTGCACTCCATCCAAGCAATGAATTTTGACGTACCATCTGAGACACGATTAATAACCTCATCACCTGGATCATCCTCGTTGTATATGACCATTTGCTGGTTCGGTAAATGAAAGGGTAGTTTAACTACAGAAACCGTGCGATGGTGAGTGTAATTACCGAAAATTCTCCACGTGGACTCCGAAGGTGCTACATACCTATATAGAAAGACATTATTAAATAATGGAAGATTGGAATTTCAAAGATATAAAATATGTGAACAAAATTTTTAAAACATACCTACAGTTGAAGTGTTTCTTAATCTCGTTTTCTTTATCATCATTCTTGATAGTTGCACGAATGTAGTCAGCACCTTTATGAATATATTGGAATAGATACTTTACTGATCGAGATTGTACACACCATCCGACGTTGATATGAGCCCTATAAAGTAGTGTGAGGCTCCTATTATAAGGAACCACAACCCTTTTTAACGATAACTTTCTTGTCATTACGTCGCCTGTATATAGGATATCCAACATCATCTATTTTAGTGATCGGATTGTAAGGTTTTGGAAAATACTTTGTACATTTTCCTTCAGCCATGCAAACACTATCCTTATTCAAAGCACCACATGGTCCATGCATCATGACATCTCCTACTATCTCATACAACGCTGGATCAGTATCCTTGTCAGGAATCTCAGCACATATTATCTTATCAATGTCATCACCAGTTGGTAGCTTGTGACCAGCCTCTAAAAAAAGAACGATGTGTGCATGAGGTAGTCCCCGTTTTCGAAACTCAATCGTGTAGATCGCTGCAACGAATAAATTGTAGTTTTTAAAAGATTAGTTAGCATGATCATTTAGCAATGTTATGGACATTATCTTGCTAAACGAAATAAGATACTTAGTTTAATAAAATATACCGGCTTTTACGACACCTAACACATTTTCGTTGGTGAGTCTGTGCATGAGATCATCTAGTTTCATCTTGAACACTCGCGTACATATATCTGGCCTATCCTCTTGCTTCAAGTTATGCCTTTTTAGGTGCTTGGTAATCTCAGGCCATTTGGGATTACACGTAAAGGTTATGAAAAGATCCGGAAAACCAAATTGCTGGCAAGTGATAACTAAGGTTTTTAAGGCCTTAGATGGGTTATCAATCCCCTTGTCAAAGCAGTATAAGGGGTGTCAATCCATATGTGTGGTAGTTAGGCACTAGTTTATGTGATAGGTTCTTAAGTCAAGTAATCAAAGATGAGTTTTGTGAAACCAGCAACAAGAAAGCATAAAACAAGAAACAAACAAGCTATGCTTAATGAACTAAGCAAGCAAACAAAACAAGATGATGGTGATTAAGCAAATGATAAAAGCTAAACCTCTAGATGTGATCATTGATTAGGGTGCTTTAGATATTGAATCATGATTCTAAGAACATAATGCAACACTTGCTACTCTTTAGTCTAGGCTTCTTAATCAGATTAATTCATTCCCATAACAATAATCCCTTTGCAAATCACTTAATCAAGTCTAACAACCATTAGATATAATCAAGCAATCAGCAAGCATAATGCATCAAGCCTAATAAGTGACCAAACAATCTCTCAACCAAGAAGACTGAATCTTATACAGAAAGACATAACAAGCAATCACATGATCTCAAACATTTCAACTTAGAACTCTAATCTAGACTAATCCTCTCATGAAGGCATTAATCTCTACACTAATCCACTTTCAAACCAAATCATCATTTGTGAAATATGAATCAATGAGCATTAAGAAACAGTTCTAATATGTCATTCATGCATTTAACAAATCATTCCCATGATGAAAAAGGCATAAACCCTTAAGTTAGCTCATTCAGGCATTTCATCAAACACTTTTGGTGCATGAAATGCCTATGAACCCAGATTTCACTTTCCCAAGGAAATCTGGCATTAGGAGCAGCTAACTAAGGAAATGGAATGAGAATCTAAACCCTAAACATCACCAATCAAACATCTAAGCACCCTAATCTACACACCTAGAAGTTTAAAAGATGACTACTCACTAATCATGAAGAACACATCTAATCTTTTGCAAGAGATGATGTTAATCATGATTAGAAGTAGAAATGAGATGATGAGATGATAAAAAACAGACTTGGAATGATCACATCCCTTCAGATATCTCTTAATCAAAAACGTTTTACACAAAAAAGGAAAGAAAACTAGAGAGAAAACTAAGTAGAAGATAACATGTAGGGTTTTTCTCCCAAAAAAACTATATATACTAAGTGCTAATGGACCGGGTCAGCCCAGGACAAACTGGGTACTGACCCGGCTCAGTTGGGTCAAGTGGAAATCCTTCGGGTTGGTCCAGTGTCTCCCAGGTAGCATGCCCAAGTCGCAGTAGATGAAGAACTTGTCTTGTGAGACTTAAATCGCTTTGTCTTAGCTGCACGCCCAAGTAGGAGTGTTTTGCGAGTCTTGCTGCGGCTTAATCTTCTTCTTCTTCAACTCGCAGGACCAAGGAGGTTTCTGGGGAATGTACATGTGCGACTTGGTCATCCCTAGTCCCAGGTCGCAGGCTCAAGTCGGAGTAAATTGCGAGTGATCATGCGGCTTGGTTCCAGTGTCTCCCAGGTAGCATGCCCAAGTCGCAGTATTGTGGACTTAGCAATTTTCTTGCTCGGGAGCCTCAGACCTCATCCATTGATAGCTCACCCGCACTTCTCAACTCGCAGCATCAATTTCCAGGCATTCGTCTTCAGGCCTGCGAGTTAACCAAGTCGCAAGGCTTTCTCGCAGCATTCAGAGCAGCTTGGACCACTTCGCATTCCGGAGAGTGTAACTTCTAATATACTTGTCCGAATTGAGTGATTTCAGTTGCAGAGGACAGAGGACTCATATATCTCCAACTTTGGTGAAGGAAACTTGGTGCTTGGGAAGTTGAAAGCTTCCTGGAGGGCTCATCTTTGCAGTGTATTTACACGATCAGAGAGAGGCGTCTAGACATGTGTCCATTCCGGTGACCGTATCTTCCTACTCATAGCTCCGAATTGAATTATCTTGGACGTTCTGGAAAGAGGACTCAAATGTCTCTGATTCTCATGAAGGCTCCGGAAACTGAATCGGCCTGGAAGTGCACCGTCCTTCGCATTCTTCGGAGCTCATCGGTTTGGTCCAAAACGGCAGCGAGACAGGAGTTTCTTCCGACGAGCTTAACTTTCTGCTCACGCCTCCGAATTCCATGATTTTACTTGCTTTGGAACCGTGATCCAATCTTCTCCAACTTTGATGAAGCCCCTGACAACTGAATCGGACCGGAAGGTTCCCCGGACAGGCGATCATTCAGGAATATCGGATTGCTCCGGAATGAGGGCGAGACCTGTTCGTCTTCCGATTACCATATCTTTCAGCTCCGTGGTCCAAATGCCTTGATTCCAATTGTTATGAACTCTTGACTCAATTATATCCAACTTTTATGAAGACTCCGACAGCTGAATCGGACCGGAAGGTTTCCCGGACGGGCGATTTCGGAAACGTGTCTGCACCCTGAGATTTTGGCCGAGAGACTTGACTGCGGTACGTGTTTTTGGCCGAGAAAGCTACCCGCGGGAAGGATTTTGGCCGAGAACCTTCGACCTTCAGTACACCATTTTGCCGAGAAACCCAAAATTGCTCCTTTTCACCATTTTTGATTATTCCAACTCCATTTCTTCGTCTGAATCACATCCTCCACTCCAAATTGGCTCCAAAAGCACCTGTTTAACACTCCAAAACATGCAAAACTCTCTCGGACCTAATGCAATCTCCTAAGTCCTAAAACAATGCCTAAAGACCTAAAATGCATGAGATAAGACATGATTTGGACTAGAATATGTATATTAAATGATGCAATTTATGAATATATCAGCAAGTAGTCATCGCATCTAGATAATGTTGCACCATATACCTTGTACCACCAGTATAAGAAGAAGGTATAATAATACGTTTACCCTTGTCAGAAAGATCAGTGTCACCTTCATCAACAATTTTCTTTATCTTGTCATAATTTTCGCAACGAAGTTTAGACTGATTCATTGATATGAAACGTAGTCTATTAGTCTCAATCATCGTGTACGCATCCACTAAGAACTGCTGGAACAATCTTCCAGATAAAGGGATGATTGGTGACTCGCCAACCCTCTCTTGTATGCGGTAAGCAAAAAACTCTCTCATAATAATAGGCAACCTTTTCCTCCCTTAGGTATCTACAAAACCAATATCGATACCAAGTCTGAACCCGTCCTCGCCATAGGGAAACAATAATGGATATTGCAAAGGCAGATACGCAGGATGTAGTTCACTGATCTTTTTGAGATTCCCAGTCTTTTTACACTCGATGATGATATCACATGCATCTACCTGACCATCGAAATCATTAGGTATCAATGCAGCAACTTCATTATTAGCTGGTAAATTCTCAGTCCTTCCATCACTTTTCCTGTCACACTTTAAAATTATCCTTAACCGGCTTGTATCACCGTTAGGATCAAACCTTTCTCGAACGTTTCGTAATGCATCCACATGTTTGTTCTGTTAATCTAGCATATTTTTTATTTTCTCAACAACATTCTCTGGCAATTTATCAGCCGGTCCTGTTTTCCTATAAAATTTTTAAAATAAATTCTTATAACAGTTAGAACCACATAACATTTAATAACAATACATATATGTTTTAAAATTGATTGATCTCAATGATTAAATTAAATATAAACCAAAAGAATAATAATCATACCCATAAACAGCTATTCGGTTAGATGTTTCATTTGCGGTATCATATATATATAGCTGAAAAAAGGCTGGTTCTTTTCCAGGAGGTGGTAGCAAATCCCCTATAGAATGGTAGTTCTCGCCACTCATCTAGAAAATGTAAGGACCTTTCCCGTCGTTGATTTCTTTATTTTTTTTTCCTCCAAGAGAAGTGAAAAAAAACATCATATTATACGCCCGGATAAACTCACGAAAGGGATCACGCAAATCACCATCATTATACATCAATGCTAATAACGAATTCGGAGGGGTTTTAAGAAGTGGAAGAACGACTTTACCCTGACCACAACACATGGAGAATATAAGCTTCCCACGACAAAATCTTTTACCCAACCTTTCTCCATACCACATATAAGCCTTACAATTACCACATATATATAGGATCACCATCGTCGTATTAACCTGATTAGAATAATATTCATTGCTTAGTATTAATTACACGATAGTTATATATTATGTATCAAATGAAATATATTATTCCAATGAAAACCATAACCTCCATCTTTCAGACCAGGACTAACTGATTCTAATAAATCTGTTCTAGTAACAACGGTCTCGGTTGCATCCTCATCACAAAAATCAGAGGATTTAGCACGTTTTTTGGGTCTTCCTTTCTTTTTATTACCAGGCCTCAATTTTTCCATATAGTCAAATTCCGACATAGAGTCTTCATCATTATCCCTATCGGACTCAGAATCAGTAGCGATAAAGCAAGCAAACTCTTCGGTGTTGATAGAAGTAGCCAAAAGATCTGTTTGTTTTTTTAAAGGAAAAAATAATAAGTGTAAATCAGGCATATATTATTAATCTACATTGTAATTACGAAAAAGAGATCAAACCAATAGCTTC